CCATTATTAAGTATATATGAATACAAAATTATCTATGTAATTTTTTTTTTACAATACCTATTTTCTTTATCAATTAGACTGGACAAACAATTTGGTCCTATATGGACCCTGTCCGATAAGGGCCCTGTCCATTAAAGGCCCTTTAAACCTGACCCTGACCCTGATCTTGACCTTATTATCATTGGGCTACCCAATAACTAGGTCTAAACCCTAAAGCTATTAAGAGCTTTTAGTTGTGATTTATGTTTTCCTCAAAATGGAATTGAACATGAATGCCCAAATGGATATGCTATCTTTATGCATAAATGACTATGAGTAGTCAAGCTACACTTACACTTTATTAACTTGTTAATATGATGACACAACTTAACTTTAATTAGTAGCTTTTCATCTAAATGCTTCATTTATGTTTCAATTATGATTAGTAGTCACATAAACTAACAAGTAGATTGGGACTAACAAATAGTAGGAAATTACCACAAAAATAATTGAGTTCAAAATTGTAGGCCTATCTTGACTAATCAAGTATTAAAATGGAATATAGTATGAAGAATAATGGGACCCACCATAGTCAAAGCTCTATCAAGAATAAGGGTCGGTGGAGGTGGAGGTGGAGCCCATCAACCATACCAAGCTGCAGAAATTGGCACAAAATAGATGAGATAAGTGAAATTAAATGTTGGTTGAATTTGCTTCTTTACTTGGGTAGTAAAAATGTGTATAAAAACGGTTGGAATTTAAATGAACTGGGCTTGTATGACTGGTTTGGATGTGATAGATAATTCATTACTATTTACCTGATTATTCCCATTCCGATGCTAGCTACTTCCATCGATATTCATATTCTTGTCAGATTTTGCCTTTTCTTTGATATGGATCCTCTTCCATCACCCTGGATGGCTCTTGTTTGGTAAATGTTCTTAAATTGTTGGAATGGTAATGAATTGTACTTCGTGTTTACATATGTAGTTTTGTTCCGAAAATATCAAGTTAATAGGCTCCTTTTTCTTTTAATTATTACGTACTTAGTTTGTAACTTTGTATACTTTATCGGTTTATCATATAATTATGATTGTCAAAAATTCAAAATACATTATATAATTGACTGACTTACTTATTGGCATTGTTGCTAGAAGGTTGCCGCCATGTGGCTACCTTTTTCTCTTGGCTCGTGTGGAGATCCATCACCATGTGGTTTACACCTTTTGAAGTCCTATAAATACCTAATTCTAAATTTATTATAAAACGTATTTAATTCACATCTTAACTCTTACGGATCAAAACTGTATTAATTACATTGTTGGAGAGATTTTCTAACATGTGTCCACAACCACACGTTACACTTAAAGATTCTTTATTAATATAATTATTCTAACAAATCAAATGAGAATTTTTTTATATAATTAAAATATGGAAGTTTATAGATTTTTGTTTAGGGCTCACCATCTCATATTTACTTATTTATCTATAGGTTTTTAGTTAACCAATATTATTTAATTCTGTGATTTAACATATGCTACACAAATTGATACTCTAATCAACTGAGATAATTGACATTCATGTAGATAGTACGAATAGGATTGCTTCAAAATTGCCACTTTTGTGACAATATCTTTTTGTTTGTGCTTGAATAAGTTTACTAATTAGGGGCGAGCAAAAATTCTGAGTAGGAAAATTGGAATGATTAGAAGTTAGCAGTTGTGCAACTGAAATTGGGTCTAGTTGTTTCAATTCCAGGTAATAAAATTAAGACCGGGTTTGGTATTGGTTATCCGACAAATATAATTATTCACTCCGTGTTTTAATAAGTGTTACACTTTGACCGACACATAGTTTTAGACAAATTAATTGACTTAAATAAAATAAGAGGTAAGTGGGGGTAGTTGAAGTATTAAAACATTGTAAAAAAATTGTTTTTATTTATTATTTTTTTTTTTTAAAGAACCACAAGGGCGGGTGATGAGAATCGATCCCAAGATTTCCTGGAATCGGGAGGTGAACTCTAACCACTTGACCTATACCTCACTCTCAAAAAAAAATAAAAAAAAAGTAGTGGGGTTAATAGTTTATTGAAAAGTAATCAATGTGAGAGGAAAGAAATAATAATAAAAAAAAAAAGTAGTACTGGGTTTGGGTGGGAGACTGGGAACCATGAAAGGAGATAAATATAATATTAAAATATAACATTTATTAAAACACGGAGGGAGTACGGAGTATTTATTTGAATGTATTAGAAGCTTAAAATTAATGAAATAGAATAATGCATATAAAAATGTAAGTATTAGAAGCTTAAAAATGAAATGAAACAAAAAAAAAAACTTACAATTTTATATAAATCCGGCAACGATTTCAAATTCCGTTTAAACATTTAAGAATCGGTTGGACTTGTAGAATAGTGTAATTCTCCTTGTGTGGAGGCTTCTCATTCATTCAATATATATAGGCATTTACAAACCTAATCATGAGAGTCCTAAATTACACAAATTATATCTTTACAGAATATTGACAAGATAATATAAACCTATTATCTATCACACCCCCGCAGTCGAAGCGAGAGGAGGTCGAACGTTGAAACTGTGTCTAAAGTCTAAAAATAGTTGTCGTGGTAAACCTTTTGTGAAAATATCTGTGTACTGATATGAAGAAAGAACATGTAAGACCTTGATTTCACCAAGAGCGACCTTATCTCGTACAAAATGTATGTCCATCTCAATGTGTTTGTACACTGGTGTTGTATCGGATTGTAAGATAAGTAAATGGCAAAAATACTATCACAATAAACCAAGGATGCCCGTCGGATAGGACAATGTAGCTCGAGAAGAAGATTCCAGAGCCAACAGATTTCGGCAACGACATTAGCGACACCTCTATATTCTGCTTCGGCATTGGATTGGGACAGAGTACCCTGTCATTTGGCAGACCATGAGACTAGATTATCACCCAAATACACACAATGCCCTGAAGTGGAGCGCCGTGTGTCCGAGCAGCCGCCCCAATCGACATCTGTGTAAGAAATAAGTCTCGTATAGTAGGAGCAGAATGGTATAAATGTAGGCCACGATCCAAAGTGCCTTTGATATATCTGATAATACGCTTAAGAGTGTTGAAATGAGGTTTCCTAGGAGCATGCATGAATAAACAAACCTGTTGAACGGCATAAGCAATGTTAGGTCTGGTAAAAGTGAGGTATTGAAGTGCACCTGCAAGGCTCCTATAAAGAAAGAGATCCTTCATGGGCTCATCATCATGCGGTCCTAGCTTCAACTTAGTGTTGACAGGGGTAACAATCGGTTTGCAACTGTCCATCTTTTCCCTATGAATAATTTCCTCTACATACTTACTCTAACAAAGAAACATAGAGTGCTTCGTTCGGCTTACAGAAATTCTTAAAAAATAACTCAGCTTTCCCAAGTCAGACATGGAGACAAGAGAGAAGAGAGGAAACCCTAATTGCAAGCTGATACCATGTAGAATAGTGTAATTCTCCTTGAGTGGAGGCTTCTCATTCATTCAATATATATAGGTATTTACAAACCTAATTATGAGAGTCCTAAATTACACATAGGGGTGAAAGTTCAGTTTTCGGTTTGGATTATAGCCCAAACCGAAATAATTCTGTTTTAGATTTTGCAATCCAAATCCAAAACGAATCAGAATTCGGTCCAATCCAAACCGAACCGAATTTCTAATACACAAGCCGAATCCAATCCGAAAACCGAAATTTTTTTAGCCTAATTTTTAGGTTCGCGATATTAATTATTAAAAACCAAGCAAATTGAATGATTTTGAAGAAAAATTAACAAAATACATAAATTGATAAATATTCAGGATTAAATTTGTACACCAATAATTTTAACTTACTTATTACATGAAAAAAGAACTCAGATCTTGTTGGCTTATTGCTTACTTCGCGAACCTAATGAAGACCGAAGTCGTCGACAGAAAATCACTTATTTGGTGTTGAATAATTCGTTCAAATCGAAGCTTAGAGAGAGAGAGAGAGAGAGAGAGGAAATCGGTGCAGGAGATGAGCTCAAAAGTTAATTGATAGAGAAGAGAGAATGAAAAATAGAGGAGATAGAGTGAAAGAAGAGAGTAAGGATGCGTGAGATTAGAGAGGAGAATAGTGAGAGAGGAGAAAGGAAGTGGAGGAGCGGCTGTTAGGAGGAGAGAGAAAATAAGAATAGGAGTTAGGGTTTTTTTTTTAGTTTATATACCGAAGGCGTAAAGCCTAAAGGGTTTATGTGAAGGGGTGAGTGGGCTTGTATTTTTGGGCCTCAAATTCGGTTCCTAATTTGGTTTTTGGTTTTTAATAGGCTAAAACCTAATCCAAACCGAAAATCCATATTTTTTATTTTTCCAATCCAATCCAAACCGAATTAAAAAAAAAAAATCCAACCCGAATTACAAATTCGGTTCGGTTTGGTTCTGTTTTAATCCATATTACTTTCACCCCTAATTACACAAAGTATATCTTTACAAAATATTGACAAGATAATATAAACCTATTATTAGAGGTGATTATTCTTCGGGCCGGGCCGGAGCTAAAAAAATTTGCCCACTTCTCGGGTCGGATTTTTTGTGCCCAAACCCGCCCAAAATGGTCGGGTCGAGCCTAAAAAAACAACTAAATATGCATAAAAACGCATTCCCAGCCGATTTCGGGCCGAAAAATTCTGCCCAAAATCCGCCCAAAATCGGGCCGGGCCATACTTGATCAGGTCTACCTATTATCTATCAGGACTAATTCCAATCCCGGTCCAAATTTTCAGAATCTATCCCAACTAATCCCGAGTCCGAAATTTAAAATTTTGACTAGATACTCAGCTTGCTCTCGATAGATTATGAAAGTTCCTAATTTAAAGTGAGCATTTTGGATCAGCCGAAATGATAATTATTAGACCAAGGCCCAGAGCCTTATGTGACAAATCTGTCATGGACCTCATGGTAAAACCGAAAATTACTCCTTAGAAGTTACAAGTACAACAAAATTAAATTGTCGTATTCAAAGTGATGCAAATTGTTTTATTTAAAAAAAAAATTGCAAATTGTTCATCTTCTTCAGTTGTATTCTTCACTCACAAACACAATCAGCCAATTTCACCTGCCCCATCAAATCCAACGCCTGAAATCCTCTGAAATTCCTGCATAAATGAAGCAAAAAACATGGCCATTTCGATCCGACGGTTCTCCTTTCACCGCTCTTCCCCTCGCAAAAAACCACCCAATCTCCAAACAATTTTCAGCAAACCACCATTTCACCAAATCCCACTTTCTCGACCGTCCGATCAAGGCCCGAATCACCTCCTCACCGTCCGATCATCACCACCGCGACTTCTCATCCCTACCTTACGATCTCCTCAACAAAATAGCATCTGGGTTTTCTCACCGGGACTTAAACGCAGCGTCTTTGGTTTGCAAGTCATGGAACGACGGGTTGAAGCCGTTGAGAGAGGCGATGTTGTTGTTGAGGTGGGGTAAGCGGTTTAAACATGGTCGGGCCGGAGTTCGGGCCAACTTGGAGAAGGCGTTGGAGTCTTTCTTGAAAGGCGTGGCCTGTGGGTCGAGCCTTGCTATGGTGGATGCGGGTTTGGTTTATTGGGAAATGGGCCGAAAAGAAGATGGGATTGCTTTGTATAGAAGAGCTGCTGAGCTTGGTGATCCTTCTGGTCAGTGTAATTTGGCTATTGCTTACTTACAAGGTGATTCCCTAAATTGAATTAATTTTGTTATTTTAGTTTCTTAATTTGCATTTTTTAAAAGTTTGTTTCGTTGTATGGAGTCGCACAGTGTAATGATGTAGGCGAGATTTTATACCTGGTCCTAGGTAGTGGTAAGACTGGCAACACCCCAAGACCAAATTCTTAAACAACTGAGCTAGGTGACCTTCATAATTTGTAAATTAGGATGGTGAATGTGTAAGAAAGTACTCCGTAGTAAAAACTAAATTGGTTTTGTTTTAATTGAATAGTGGTTTTGTGGAGGTGTGACAAGTGAAAGTAGAGAACTGCATTTATAATGTGGGAGTTACATGGTAATTGAAAGTAGGATGGTAAAAGAGTGGATTTCAGATTTAAATTTGAGGAAAGTTTCTTGATTTGTAAAGATTTATGTTTTCTAAAGTTAACAAAAATGTGTGGGGTTCATTGCCTAAGAAAAAAATAAGAAGTAAGGTTTGAGTTTAGGATGTGATTTCAAGAATTAAGGTTTTTAAAGGAGGTGATAATTTCGATGTATAGAGAGCCATGAAGTGCAATAATGTGGACAATGATGTTGACCCTCACATTTTTAAATTAGGATGGTGAAAGTGTGATAAAGGATTGAAATGTAGGGTTTTGTAGAGTTGTGACAAGTGAAAGTATAGAAATGCATATTGTGTATGGTTTAAATGGTACAAATTTACATGGATGGTATTGAATGTAGGATGGTAAGAATGCTTTTGGGGTCAAATGTGAGGAAAATTTCTTAATTTTGCGAATTTCAATGTTTCTTGATAACAATATCATGGGGTATTTTGATTGAGATAAGGAGAAGCAAGATTTGGCTTTTGGATGTGATTCTAAGAAATTTAGCTTTTTGTGTGTTAGCCTGTCATGATGCTCTCCCTACAAAGGAGGGGTTTTCGGGTTGAGCAAGAGAATACTAAGCATGAGACTTGATTGTAGTGTGTGTGGTATGATGAAGGAGTCGGTAGTTTATGGACTTAGGGATTTAATTTTGTTAGGGAAGTGTGGACGGTTAGTTAATGTAGTGAAAGTGCAGAGCATCAGTTGCATGAGTTTAGATTCAGGACATGATTTAGGGAAGGCAAGAGATTGGGTTTGGGTGGATATCTGTTTAGAGGAGCTTGGCATTGTGGTTTTTAGCTATTTGATTGGGCATCTTGGGGGCTTGTAACTGTTTAATATTCGAAAGGGTGGTGTGTGCTCCGTTGCAAACAGCTGTCTATGGTAATAACTCTAATAACTGGAGCTGCGAGAGAAAGGGGGAATTTGTTATGCAGTTTTGTTATTTTATTTATTTTTTGATTTCACTTATTTAGTTTTATTACGATGTAGAGAGAGCCACGAAAGGTAGTTCTGTGGATAGGATTTGAATTCTGGTCCTAGGTTCCATCCCAAGTCATTTGAAAGAGGTGATCTTCACATTTTTAACTTAGGATGGTGGAAGTGTAAGAAAGGAGTGAAATGTAGTGGTTTGTGGAGCTGTGACAGGTGAAAATATAGAAATGTATTTGGTGTAGGGTTTACATGGTACAAATTTACAAATGTGTATTGAATGTAGGATTGTAAGAATGCTATTTGCCTATTTGGGGTTAAATGTGAGGAAAGGTTCTTAATTTTGTGAAATTCAATGTTATGACAATATCAAGTGGGTATTTTGATTAAGATAAGGAGAAGCAAGATTTAGTTTTTTAAAATGTAATTCTAAGAATTAAGCCTTTTGTTTGTTAGCTTGTCATGATGCCCTTCTTACAAAGGACGGGTCTTCGGGTTTAGCAAGAGAACTTTAAGCATGAGACGTGTGTTTAGTAGTGTGTGTGGTTTGATGGAGGAGTCAGTAGTTCATGGACTTATATAGTTTGATTTTGTTAGGGAAGTATGGAGGGTTAGTTGCGTGTGTATGGCTAATGAAAATGATCTAGTTGAGCAAGAGATTGGGTTTGGGTGGGTATCTGTTCAGATGAGCTTTGAGCTGTGGCTGTTAGCTACTTGACAGGGTAATTTGGGTGCTTATAACTGTTAAATATTCGAGGAGGTGGTGGAAGTGGTGTGTGACCAATCGCAAACAGTTGTCTATGGTAATAAACAGTTGTCTATGTTGAGCATAGGCATTTTAATATTCAGGGCCAGAGCTGGAAGTCACCACTGTTTCTTGGCTTTGTAAAGTTTGAAGTTGGTGCCGGCAGGTAGGAAGATTGTGGCATGGGATTGGGGGTGATTGTGCGGTCCGAAGCTGGAATACCATTATTATGTGTAGATTGCAGTGATGCATGGGAGGATGAGATATTACAGAGGCTGAAGCTAGAGTGGTGCTTTGGAGTTCAAAGCTTATGGCTGAGTGTGCATACAAGAATTATGTGGTTGAAAGTGACTGTCAAAGCACCATTATGTTCTTGATAATAATTTAAGTTGCAACTCTTGGTTTAATGCATTTTTTGGTCTTTTTAGGATAAAGCCATAGAGGGGTATAGGTTTGAGCACACTGAAGTTTCAATTTTTCTAGCTCAGCTACATTCACTAAATGAATAGGGCTTTATTGGAGATGCACTTTCTTATTTGTTTGCAAATGCTGAGACCTAGCTAATAGAGATTTCTCTTTGATTCAATTTTGGTCTCATATCTCCAAATAGGTCAACATTCTGTCCTCTGCTACTGTAAATTTGTAGTGCAAGTAATTATCATGTCATTATCCTTGGGTATGTTGAATTAATTTTCTTGAACGGATGAGAGCAACTCTTTTTTTTTTTTCCCTGTTCGCTGAGAAATTTTGAAATCTTATTTAGACTTCATATTCCTCTTAACAATGGTGAATATGTTATACAGTGGTGCAAGTGTTTGGATAAAGGGCAAAACTGCTTTTGAATGTTGAATTGCACACAAAATGATTGATATGCATGCTTGTGTATGTGTAGCTGACTTTGCAAATCCTAAGGAAGCTGTCAAGTGGTTATTGCAATCTGCCTCTGCTGGCCATGTACGTGCTCAGTACCAACTAGCACTGTGTTTGCATCATGGGCGTGGGATTGAGCGAAATCTACCAGAAGCTGTATGGATTTATTTTACTTTTTTTTTTTCACCTTTTGATTTATTATTTTATTTCAGTGTTACTGGTATTACCCTTAAGAGTAGTATTGTGTTTGTAAAACGTCTGAGACAGTTCAAGGTTGTTAGTTACAAGACATAGCATGACTTATCTTGAATTTATTTTGAGCAGGCTAAGTGGTACCTCAGGGCTGCAGAGGGTGGATATGTTCGAGCTATGTACAATGTGTCACTCTGTTATTCAGTTGGCGAAGGGTTTGCCAAAAGTCATCCACAAGCAAAGAAATGGATGAAGCGGGCTGCTGATCATGGTCATAGTAAAGCACAATTTGAGCATGGACTTAATCTTTTCTCTGTATGTAGCATCTCTCCTCATAACTCTTGTGTTTAACTGTGGGTTTTTTTTGACTTGTATCCATGAGTTCCTGGGCTAGGCCGCCAATTTCAGATACAGGCCCATGTCATTTAGCTGCTCTATAACCCACTTTCTACAATAACCCGCCATCCCCTCCCCCCCCCCCCCTCCCTCCCCACACGCACACACAGGGGTGGATGATGAGTGTGTTCCCATATCAACCAACCATGATTCTCAAGTGTATCACTGTATAGTATCTATCTATAATTCTATGTCTTATATCTTGTTGCATTATTTCTAGCCAAAGTCTGATTTATTAGGATTTGGATTGAAAATTCTGTTGGTGCCCCTCTGACAGGAAGGGGAGTTGCCAAAAGCTGTTGTCTATCTGGAACTTGCTAGTCGTGCAGGGGAGACTGGTGCCTCTCATGTGAAGGATGTCATTGTGCAACAACTATCAGTTACTTCACGTGATCGTGCTATGCGTCTTGCTGAAAATTGGCGCCCATTGCCTTCATCGCGCTGACCAGAATTTATAGATGACATGTAAAATCCCCCTCCCTTGTCTCCCCAGTTGCTCCCTTCTGTGGGTAGCTATATCTCATTTTTCACACTTGGACATTGAGGTCAATCATGAAAGCTGTTGCAACTCAAATACTAGTGCATGTTCTTTCATACTCCCCCAATCCCTTATTTTTTGCCCCATTTGACTTTTAATAGTCTCTAATACGCATCTTCAAACGTATATATTTCCATTTCTATATGCGTAAAAATTATAAAAATTTGATATTAATAAACTATACAATGAGACAATTCTAACAAAATTTCACCTGAATATATTATCACTTATAGATTAACGAGAACTCATGGTCAAAATTTTTAAGTTTGACTCATATTTTTGCAATGAGGCAATAATTAAGGGACGGAGGGAGTATAATGTGCCTCAACTCTCCAAGTGATATAAGAGGCTGTATATATATAGACCCTTTCCTTCTAATATTTGAGGACTTCGTACCAGTGTCTTGATAAGCGCAAATGTTCATGGTTATGTAATATTCGAGAATTGACTAGTTGATCTCTTTGATTTACAAAAGTGTCAAATTTAAATTGAGGAAGTATATCTTTTAAGGGCAAAACACTTTTGCAATGAAATTAATAAAGTGGAGAGAAGGTAAAAGTTTGGTCCCACATGAGCTTAAGCATTTTAATTAAAGGAGAGATTAAGTGTTAAATGTGCAATGTAATCATGTGAACTGAAAACCCACCCCACCTCAAACACCACCAGCCTCATCGGAAACCACCAACACCCCCACCGAAAACCACCAAAACTTCCACCACTCCTACAGAAACCATCATCACTCCGACTGAAAACCACCAAAATACCCATCACTCCCACTGAAACTTCCCGAGACCACCACCACTCCCACCAAAAACAGTCAAATCCTCCACCACTCTCACGAAACTTCCTGAAATCACCACCACTCCCATCAAAACTTTCCAAAACCACCACTTCTTAAGCACCCCATCATGAGCACCCAAAAATACGAGGGCTCCAATACGGAAAAAAATTGATTGATTAAGGAGAATCATTACTTGGATCCATGAATATGTTGTTCATTTTCAAAAAGACGACAATTTAGGTCTCAGGTTTGGAATTCAAATGCTCAAATAAGGAAAACAAATTAGGGTTCTTGGTGAATTTTGGGGGAAAATTCCAGAATTGAATTTTGAGAGAGAGAGAGAGGGCGGGAGTGGTGGTTTTCGCTGGTTTTGGTGGGAGTTGTGGTGGTTTCGGTGGTTTTCGGTGTGTGTAGTGGTGGTTTTCGCGGTTTTCGGTGGGAATGGTGGTGGTTTCAGTGGGAGCTGTAGTAGTTTTGGTGGTTTTTCGGCGGATGTAGTGGTGGTTTCAGCGGTTTTCAGTGAGACTGGTGGTGGTTTCAGTGGGAGTTGTGGTAATTTCGGTGGGTGTAGTACAATAGTGGTTTCGGTCGACGGTGGTTATGGGGAAAAAAGGATGAAGACAGAGAAAGAGGGGAGGTGAAGTCACCAGTACAATGGTAATGGTTTGGGGGGGGGGGGGGTGGAGTAGCTTGGGTTTAATTAATGTTTAAGAGTGGTGTTTGAATAATTAAAACTAAATTATGCAATGCACGATTTTAATAAAAAAACTGAACTGTTATTCGTCGTTCGCAAATTACTGGGTGACGTTCACATTTTTAATTGAAATGACATTTTTGTCCTTATGGGTATTTTATCTATTTAAGGGTCCACCATGGGTAAATTTAGTTACCGACAACATTAAAAACATTATCGACCCACCACTTGTGTTAAAAAAATCCCGAGCATTAAAAAATCTCAGTTCCACCATTGTACGGTAATCCCGCGGAATTTAAAAATCCCGGGCCAGAAAAGGAAAGTGTACGGAGTGATGTTTTACGATGGACGACGACAACGTTCACACGCCGGAGGGTTCGACGGAAGAATCTGTAAGTATTTCGGAATTTTTTTTTTTTGTAAATAGGACATCCGCTTGATTTTTCCGGAAATCTGGGGGAGATCCGCCCAAAATTTCCGAATGTTCCCAATAACATCCGGAAATTTCAGGCGGATGTACACATCCGGATGAAATTTCCGGATGTAATTGGGGACATCCGGAAATTTTGGGCGGATATCCCCCAGATTTCCGGAAAAAACAAGCGAATGTCCTTTTTTTTTGTTTTTTTGTTTTTACGTAATTGTTATTGTTATTATTATTATTATTATTGTTATTATTATTATTATTATTATTATTATTATGGTTATTAATATTAGTTTTGTTAATTTTGTAAATTTCTATTATGATTATGATTATTATTAATATTATTACTACTATTATTATTACTATTGTTGTTATTATTATTATTATATTAGTTATTATTTGTTAATGTTACGTAATTATTGTTGTTATTATTATTAGTATTATTATTGTTATTGTTATTATCATTAGTATTTTTATTGTTATTATTATTATTATTATCATTAGTATTATTATTGTTATTGTTATTATTATTATTATTATTATTATTATTATTATTATTATTATTATTATTAATATTATTATTTTTATTATTGTTATTTTTATTTTTATTATGATTATTTGTATTATTATTGTTATTATTATTGTTAAATTTAAAATAGTAATCCTTGCGTGTTTTATTTGTTTGTATTGTTATTTTGATAGGATTCGGAGGTTGAAGACGACGGTGACGTTGTGAATTACAGTGCACATTTTGTGACAGACACGGTTTTTCTAACGTTTGACGATGCAGTTACATGGGCGGATGCTGTTGCAATAAATCTGGGATTTATTTTGGTGAAATCGTCTTTCAACAAACAGAGGGATGGTCGACCAGTTCGATATTTAAGATGTGACCGGGGACGCAGGAGTAAGCCGAGAGATCTTGAGAACGCAATTCGGAAGGACACCAAAACCAAGGGCATTGGTTGTCCTTTCTACATCAAGATATGTTACGAGTTCGTCACCAATACTTGGTTTATCCGGGCGAAAGATGATGTAACTGGGACCCACAACCATCCAATGATTGCGTATCCAGAGGGTCATCGTAAAATTAGTGGGTTGAGCCCGAATGCGAAGCAGGTTGTGCGTGACATGACGAAGTCTAAGGTTGCACCGCGTAACATCATGGCGACTATTGCGGAGCAATTTCCTGATGATCATCCAAACATCAAACACATCTACAACTGCCGGAATGACTTCAGAGAGGAGATGTCTGATGGGAGAGGAGTTGTTCAGCAATTTCTACATTTGGCGAGACAGAGTCAGTATGTTTACTGGGTCATGTCCGATGATGAAGGCGTTTTACAGCACGCCTTTATGGCGCATCCAGTCATGGTAGACATCCTACGGACGTACCCCTATGTGATCGGTATGGATTCCGCTTACAAGACTAACCGATACGGGATGCCGTTCTTTGAGATAGTTAGCGTGACACCGACAAATCAGAATTTTCTCGTCGCTTACGTGTTCATGCGCAACGAGAGCACGACAAGCTATCGATGGGTTTTGCAGAGGTTGAGAGACGTGATTGGGTATAATAAGGAGCCGTCGGTTTTCTTGACAGACCGTGAGCTTGGGCTATGTGCTGCATTGAGGGAAGTGTTTCCAGGAACCTCGCACTTACTTTGTCGATGGCACATTAACAAAGATGTGGAGGCTCGGGTCACTGCTATGTTCAAAAGCAAGAAAATCGGTGCGTCTTTCAAAAACGGAAAATGGAAACGTATCATGGACGCTGCAACCGAGGAAGATTATGAGGCCGCTGTAGAAAACATGAAAGATAAGTGGGCAAGTTTTCCAGCAGTGATACAATATGTAGAGAACACATGGCTTTGTCATAAAACGAAGTTCGTGACATTTTGGACAAACCAAGTTCTACATTATGGCAACCCCAGCACTTGCAGAGTTGAGAGCCAACATTCGGCCGTGAAGATGTGGTTTGATTCCTCGACAGGTTTGGTGTAAGATTATTGAACTTCATGTATGTACTTTATTTTAGGAATTTGAGTTACAAATCATAACGGTTTTTCTTTGTAATGTGCAGGTTCTTTAGATACCGTATGGGCTCGAGTTCATAGCCACATTGGTAATCAAATCATCGCAATTCGTAATGGTTTGGAGGCTTCTAGGTCGAAGATAGGTCAAAAGTACCGACAGTTGCCACTGTCACGTATAAACGGGAAGGTGTCTCAGCATTGTTTGAAGGTTCTCGATGAGGAGACAAGGAGGATGAGGGAGCTGAGTTATCAAGTGCACGAACGATGTGGATGTGCAATGCGTGTGACCCATGGGTTGCCCTGTGCATGCCAGATACATGATTCGCTAGCTGCTGGGACAGGATTGTACATAAGGCAAATTCACCCGTTTTGGAGGACCTTGGTTATTGGTTCTGGAGATGGTGGGACGGTGCCTGGCAATGACTCGACCGAGGATGCCGCACATTTTCATTCTCTGATGGAGGAGGTGTTTGATAGTGATCCTGCTGTTCTTCGAAACGTGTCTCGCATCATTGAAGAGGAGCTGCATCCGGATCATTCCGATCTCAGAGAGCCTGCTGTAAACCACCGGGTTCGTGGTCGACCAAGAAACAATGATACAAGACGTGATCGTTCTTATTTTGAACATGTAAACCGCCAACACACTGAACGCGGCGCACGACAAACAGGTACGATTGAGTGTTGTGTTTTTCACATAAATCAGCGTTCACTAAACTATTAACTGAAACCTACATTTGTGCAGGAGATGTATACGACATTAGCCAAAGCCGTTATCGACACATGCTTCCAGGGCCGATGTTGCCTTACATCACAGGATGGAAGGATGTCATTGGCGATGGGAACTGTGGGTTTCGTTGTGTGGCCGAGTTCTTCTTCGGTGATCAAGGTCGATGGTATGACGCTCGAGAGACAATAGCGAATGAGGTCCTCGGTTATGGAGCCCTATATGAGAGGATTTATGGGCTTGGAAGACTTGAGATCAATGTGCAGCGTATTCGATGGGACGGTGGGGCGGTTGATTCCCGTCATTGGATGGTTGCAACACAAGATTTATTTCCTATTGCGACTTGGTTCAACGCAGCGGTTATTATTCTTGGTGTAGGCCAAACACCAACTTGCTACTACCCATGCCTCACGATATTGCCGTTGCGGGCAAGAAGGGGGGTCACAGCACCGGAGCGAGAGTTTGTCATCGCTACAGTTGGGGCCTCACATTTTATTTGTATTGAACTTGCACCTGATTCGCCACTTCCCCCGGTTGCAGGTTGGTGGACCGAGCACCACGACCCAAGTGTTGACGGTTGGGATCAGCGTTACGAAGCTAGAAGGAACATGTGGGATGCCTTAATTAGATAGTGAACATGTTGTTGTACTTTCATTTATGTTAAACAGTTGTCGTTATGTAATTTGCAACGAATTGAACTTAATTAAACAAAATATTTACAAAACCACCAAAACAGTTGTTCAATACTTAAAGTACGTGATGAATAAATAGTACATAAACGAAATGCGTACAAGGGAAATAAAAAAAAAAAAAACAGGAAGTTCACAACCCCATCATCGCCCTCCAATCAGCTCGTAGCGCCTCAGCCATTGCTCTTGTATCACGCGATAGGCTCGGATACTCCTCCAGGGTCCTGTTGATGACCTCCATAGACCGACCCATCCACTTCAATTAAAAAAACAACATATTAAATAAATCACAAGTTTTTTTTTTAAAAAAAACAACATATTAAAAACAACATATTAAAAAAATCGGATTTTAAAAACAACATATTATAAACAACATATTAAAATAGCAACTTATTAAATTATACCAAAAAATACAACTACTTACGTAATCAGTGTTAGTTCTCTCTGGCAGTGTGCGACTCTCATGTGATGACGCAACTGGAGAAACACGTGGATGAGAAAATCGGTACAGCCACTGCATGTAACCAGGACCGACTGTATGAGCACCACCACCAAGTCTGCTGAGGGCACCTACCACGACACTAAAAGACATACCAGGGACAAACCGAGTCCACATCACAGATGTCATCTCTGGCGGAAAGTCAACCCGATACATCTTCAAGTTCGTCGGTCTCTTAGCCTTCTCAGGCCTGATAATGGCTGGTGGAATGCCCTGGACGTATCCAAGTTGCCGAACCACTCGATCAGGCATGTATGGCTCAATGATGCTACGATACTGGATGCAGGCAATGAAAAGAGTAGCAGGCACGCGTTGTGCTGGATCAACTCCGTACGGTAGCCAGTTAACTTCATTGTCAGTCAAATGATCCAACCTAGCCCGAAAAGCGAGAAGGCGCTCCATGCTCTTGTTAGGGCACCCCGATCCAACATCCCAGGCGGACGCACGAGGAATAGCAAGCTCTCTGGTCAAGGTCCCCTGCTGAGGCCGGAAACACGGAAAGTACTCGTAGATCCACGCCTGCAGAAGCGTAAGGCAGCCAGCGATAGAATCAGCATCTCTTCGTGATGCTGTACCCAATTGCCGGTACATGTATGCTAGCACAGCAGAACCCCAGGAGTACTCACTAATCTGAACATCCTCAACAAACAGCTCGTTGAGGAAGGAAGGATGAGTACGGTTTCCACTCTTGTCCAAAAACAAACAACCGCCGAGTACTAACCACAGGTACGCCCTGTAATGGAAACTGAAGGGCCTCTGCGCCTCCAAGGTCGACTCCACTATCCTCTCAGTCAGGACCCCACTACCCTGCCATACGGTTTTGGTACCGCACTTCTCATTCAGCTCTTCCTCAGTCATATCCAAGGTAACCGAACACGCGTCCCGTAAAACGTCCGTGCTAGGAGTAGTGGAAACCATGGAACCGTCGACACGAAGCCCTAGAATATGATACACATCATGCAGCATGATCGTGATCTCCCCAAAAGGCATGTGAAACGTGTTCGTGTCTGGCTGCCATCTCTCAACAAAAGCAGAAATTAAGGGCCAGTCAAATCGCCGGAACATGATCCCGGGTAAATGAGATAGACCAGTGCCATCAATCGGTTCCAGGTGCTCCGGCGGAAGACGAGCGCGCCAGTTACCCAATTCAGAACACAACTGTGTCCTTCTCAAACACCGCAGCACGTTTCGCTCCTGCCCACCCCATATGTAGGCAGACACGTGACCCCCAAAACTCGGAATAACGGTACCATCCTCAGGCCCACCTGGCATCGGCTCCTGCACCACCCATGACTCTGACGAGCTGGTAGAAGCTTGACCTGGTTCACTACTGCTAACATATCTCCCATGGTCACCCCTATACACAATACGGTAATCCTGAGGGTCGTACTGTGCATCTCCAGCAGATTGACTTCCTCGATCTTCATCCTCATCCTCATCTGATGAAGGCACTCCAGTAGACGAATACATGGGGGCGCTCCCCTGTGACTGGTGCTCCCCCGACCAAGCACCAGCAGTCCCATACTGCTGCTCATGCTGAAACGGTGCATGTGAAGGTCCTGCACCACCTAACTCCCTCCTAACAGACGCATTCAAACGTCTTGATCTTGCATGACGAGGACCAGAACCCTCAATCTGCATTAAAAAAATAAGTACAGAATCATATTTCAATAATAATTCATAGTTAAAAAAATCAAATCAAAACTATAATAAATCAAATCAAATAAACAATAATAACAGCATTACAAATAATAACAATAATATTATTCTTACAATACTAATACACTACTAACAATTACAACACACTAACACACTACAAATAATTTCAACACAATAACAGACCAAAACAAAACTATAATTAACCACAAAACTGCCAAAATTTAAACGCAACATCGACAACCCAATAAAAAAAACAATTACAATAACAATAACAACAATTTAAGTAAACAACCATAATACATAACAACAACAGCAGCAAAAACCAATACAAACCAAACCAAATTTACATAACAATAACAATACATAGCAACAACAAACTTACTTTAATGCTAAACTATAATTATTGTAAAACTAAATCAACAAAAATTACATATCAATAACTATTGCAAAACTAAATCAAGAAAAAAATTATTTTAATGCCACAAATGAAGGACACAAATTACTTCAAAAAAAAAAAAAATGAAGGACACAAATATTTTCAAATTAAAACATGCACCAAATCAACAAAATCGAGGACAAAAAAAAAAGAAAAACAAAAATTAAAAAACAAAGGAAAAACATAAAACAAAAAAAAGGTGGAAAAACAGAAAAACACAAAAACCAAAAAAAAAAAGGGAAAAACAGAAAAAAAAAAGAGGGGAATAACAGAAAAATAAAAAAAACCTGGAAACTGGACTTCCGCCCAGAAAATCCGGAAGTCCAGGGGAACTTCCGGAAATTTCAGGCGGAAACCCCACTTCTGCCTGAAATTTCCGGAAGTTCCCTTGGACTTCCGGAATTTCTGGGCGGAAGTCCCCTTGTCCAGAATTTTTTTTTTCAAAATTCAAAAATTTAAAAAAAAAAAAAAAAACTCACCGGCTCGCCGCCGCTAACGCCGCCACCACGACCACCAAACGTCAGCCTAATTCTCCGTCGGTCTGCCATTGTCGGATTCAACGTTTGATTGCAAGATTTGCTTGTGTTTGAGTAGCCTTCAACTATTTTGGTTTTTTTTTAAAAAAAAAAATTTCTGATTTTTTTTTTTTTTCAAAATTTCTGATTTTTTGGAAGGTTTTAGAGAGAGAAAGTGTCAAAGAGTGATTTTGTGAGATGGGAAATGACTCGTAAAGCCCTAACTTACTTTATCGAGTATTTATATACGGAGGGCAATTTAGGAAATTCATGTAAAAAATGTGAACGTCACCTAGTAAAATGCGAACGACGTTTAACAACACCCTAAAAAAAAGGTTAAGTTTCAATAAAAATAAAAAAAAGGAAAAATTTAACAAGAATAATCCAACCTTTTCTCCATTCTCCCAAAACAATCCCACCTTTGGATTATTCTTGAATAATCCAATCTTTGCTACCCATTTTCTCATAACAATCCTAGCAGGTCACCCTACCCATACAACCAGTTGCCAATCCACGCGTCACTTCATTGTTAGCTAATTTTTTTATTTTAATCTTTTAATTCTATTAATTAACAAAAACAAATGTTTTCTTCTTTCTCCTCCTATCTCTCTTCCCTTTCATGGCCACCGTAAACCCCATCCACCACCGCCACTTCCATGGTCACCATTAACACCATCCAGCACACCCTACTTCCACCACCCAGATAGGAAAAAAGCCCACCCTAACCACGACCATGACCCACCGCCACCAAACACCAAAGTCAGCAGCACCTCACCCACACCACCTCACCAAATCGGCAAATCCCATACCCCGCTTCCTTGCACCACCAACCCACAACCACAAACCAACATCAAATCACTAACATCAACTTCCCAATTAACACAAACAACAATAATGAAACTGATCCAGCAAACAATCACCCACTTTGTTCAAATAAGAAAAAAAAATCCAATATCTTAATCCAACATTAATCACATCAATAAAAAAAAAAAAATCAACAAAGAATTCTAAAACAAAACCAGAAAATCATAAATCAAATTAGGATTTTTCACTTTCAATTCATATAAAAAATTCAAATTGTAGGGGTTTGGGTTTCATTAATATCATTAGTATTGCAATTAGTTGGGGTTTAAAGGTGGTTTCAGGCCAAATAGGGAAGCGACGGGGGTGGGTTGCAGGTGGTCGGAGGAAAAGTTGGAAAGGGGATTGATTGTGATTGTGGGGTCGAGTGAAGAAGAAGATGGGTGGTTGTGTTTGAAGGTAGAAAGGCATTGAAGAGAGGGAGGAGGAGGATAAAGAGGGGAAGCCATTGTTATGGTTGTGGCTGCCATGAGTGCCATCCATTGATGCCAGTAAGGAGATAGGAGGAGGAGAGAATAAAAGTGAAAAATAAATAATAAACAAAAAACTTACCTGATCTTAAAGTAACCGGTCACATAGGCTTGTTAGGAGAAAATGAGTAGCAAAGGTTATAATCTAAAGGTGGGATTGTTTTGGGAGAATGGAGGGAAGGTTGGATTATTCTTGTATTTTCCTAAAAAAAAATTATAATATAGAACTCGTATATACAATTAATCTTTTCAATTTTGTCATAAATTCATTGGAAGAAGATTTTTTAAAAGAAATACAGTTTGAATATTTTAAAAAATTTCTGGACGTTTGAATATTAGTGTTAAGAAATTGAGAAGAGGGAATGATAGAACTTTAAATCAAAAGAAAGGAATACAATTGCTTTTCAATTCACTATATTTCGGTTTTCTAGATTAAAGTTGTTGAAAGAACTTAATTAGCTTGTTTACGAAGTATCAAACAAAAGAAAAAAAATCCTTTCAAAAAAAAAAGTTATAAAAAAAATGACATCATCAATGGTTTTAGGCGGGAAAAAATTTCATAAGAAAGCGACACGTATACAGTTTTGAGGAGAGATGATGTTAGCAATGTTTTGTTTTAGTAATAGTTAATAGATATGAAATGTTGTTTAACTAAGGTCCTGTTATTTAGAGTTGCTCTGCTTTGTTCTGCTCTAGATTAAAAATAATAATTAATTATATCTTATAACAATAATAATAATAATAATAATAATAATAATAATAATAATAATAATAATAATTTATAATTAATATTTAATAATAATAATAATAATAATAATAATAATAATAATAATAACAACAACATATAAAGTCATACAACTTGCAATAAATTAGTGGGAAGCCGAGATACTGTCTGGGCCCCCACTCCTCTAGCTATTGCATAGCTTACCCTAGTGAAGATATGAGCTGCAGCACGAGCCCCAATGTCTTGCATCGCCGAGAACCTCTGAACCCGCTTCAGCAACGCAACAACCTCCTTCTCTAATTCCCCAAGCGAAGAAAAGGAGAAGGGTATGAAGCCATATCCAATCAGCCGACAACTAGATTCCACTACTAGAAAACAGGCCATTTCCGGCGGAAAAATTCCGTCGGAAACACCGTGAATTCCGTCAGAAAACACTGTTTCCGACGGAATTCCGTCGGAACGTGTTGTCGGAAGACCTTTTGTCGGAAAAATGGTTGTTTCCGTCGGAAATTCCGTCGGCACAGTGTTTTCCGACGGAATTCCGACGGAATTTTCTCGTAGGAAGGACAGTTCCGGCCACCGGAAAGTCCGTCGGAAATTTCTGGCGGAATACAAATCCGCCGGAAACTTCGGACGGAAATTCCGACGGAAATAACAATAAAAAAAAAAAAAAGACCCACCACCACCCCAACCACCCTACCCTGCCTAGACCACCCTGCCCAGAATACCCCACGCCACCCTACCCTGCCCAGACCACCCTGCCCAGAACACCCCACGCCACCCTGCCCAGACCCACCACCCAGACCACCCAACCCTACCCTGCCCAGATCCACCCACCCTGACCCAGACCCACCACCCAGACCACCCCACCCTACCCTGCCCAGACCACCCTGCCCAGATCCACCAAATAACCCACACACCACGAACCTTACACCACCCACACCCACCCTATCTCCACCTCGCCACCCCCACAACCACCATATCTCCACCCCCACAACCCACAAAAACCACAAAATCAAAACCAAAAACTTAAATAAAACCGAAAAAAAAACCAAATAATCGAAACCACAAAAACCAATCAAACAAAATCGAGACCACCAAATCGGAACAAAAACCACAAAAATCGAAATAAACAATTTATATATTATATTGTCTGAAAACTGCAAAATTACAAACTTAAATTACAAAATTTAAAAACTTATATTACAATTTCATCATAAAAATCATTATAATCATAAATTTCTAAAAAATAAACCTAGATCTACATATATTTCCGACCTTGTAGGTGTTGTTGAGCGGCGGTGGTTGTTGTTGTTGAGCGGCGGTGGCTGTTGCGGTTGTTGTTGTTCCGGTTGTTGTTGTTGCGGTTATTGTTCCGGTTGTTATTGTTGCGATGGTTGATGTTGATGAATAGAAAGAGGAGAAGGAGAAAGAGGAGAAGGAGAAAGGAATGAGGAAGAAGAGGAGAGAAGGAGAATGAGAGGAGAAGGAGAATGAGAGGAGAGAGAAATAGAAGAAGAGAGGTGGGTTGCTGTAAGAAAGAAAAAAAAAGGAGAAGAGAGGCGGAGAGATGGGGGTGGGTTTAGGGTTTTTATTTTTTTATTATTTAAATAAATTCCGACGAAATATTCCGTCGGAATATTAATTTTCTGAGGGAATATTCCGTCAGAAAATTCCGACGGATTTTGATTCCGCCGGAAAATTAATATTCCGACGGAAAATTCCGTCGGAAAGTTCCGACAGATTTTAATTCCGCCGGAAAATTCCGTCGGAAAGCCCATATTTTCCAACGGATTTTAATTCCGTAGAAAATCCGTCGGAAATTTCCGACGGATTTATATTCTGTCGGAATTGCCGACAAATTATCTTGCCCGTCGGAAGAAGTCCGTCGGAAATAAGCCTATTTCTTGTAGTGTTCATACTTCACCTGCTTTCGATGAGCCGCATCAGCCACAACCCGTCCAGGAACAAAGTCAGATAGCACTGTCTGTGTCAAAGGAGAAGACCTTGTTAAGTCCACACATATATCGTGACCATGATCCCAAGGATAAAGTAACACATCTGCAGGTCTGAGGGCCCCATCATTTCCTCCGGACAACCCTATGTTAACCTCCTTTCTTGCTGAAATCCCAGATCTGTAGCAAATATCAACAAGGGTATCCCGGACAACATTATGCCGATGTTTAATACCCACAATACCAGCACACGACACCGCGTGATCACCGAAAAAGTCCCAAGTAAAAACCCGAGAACAAGCAGAGCACGGCGCCGAGATAGAGAACAATGGAACACCCATCCGGTAGCACAACACACATCGATAGGTCTTTGCGCTCATCGTTTGACCCAACCCAGAAATAGGCACCGCCCGAAGCCAAGAAGAGGAGTGATCTCCCTGCTGCGATTTCCATAATGTCGATTGCCGAGGAGACAAAGAAAAGGCGGATTCTGCAGAAGTGGTAACCTTTGTGAAATATATATCTGCCAATTTCTTCTTGAGTTTAGAGGCAGCGACCTCACTAGGATTACACATAATGTCAAATTCCACCGTTCTATTAAACAAGCTCAACGTATCCTCAAAGGCTCGACTAAGGCCAACAATGCCAACATGCCGTAGAAGGCTTGTCTGCAACCCAGCAGAATGTAATCGGGAAGCAAGAAAAGCATAATGACGAACATCACCTGCGGAATAAACACCAAGCCTGCCATACGCAAAAGGCAAGGTGGCAAGCCTCCACTGCCAATCGCCAAACCCAAAGCAGTAACAATACGCTCCAAGGAAGATCTAAGAGCCTTATCGAATGTGCGCTGAGCCGTCTCAAAAGTACTAGAAGGACAAGTACGCAATGTAAAGTAGAGCTTAGAAACTCCGATACAAGCTCTAAGCAACAACAGCTCGCACTGAGGATCATCAAGCTTAGTAACCCTATCCATAGGCGCAATGGTCTTGGTCACCCTCTGCATCACAAGCTCACCTCCGGAATCGGAACTAGCAAGACCACCAAGCAACTTAACACCACGCAAGGGTCGAGCAATATTAGGTGGAAAGACACCCACAAGCCTGCTTCGAGGGTCTTCTAAAGGCCAGAAAACTTCAGTTTTATCCACGTTAAGATGTAATCCAAAACGAGGTCCTTCCTCCATAATCAACTGCAGAACCTTCCCCACCACCAATGTGTCACCAATAACATTACCGTCATCCAAATACCAAGCCTGAAGACATATATCAAAAGTTTCTCTGATTTTACACACCAGGGGCTGTAAAACCAAAGCAAATAATAATTAATAATAATAAAAGTTATTATTAATAATTCACAATAAAAGTTATTAATATTTATAATAATATTAATTAATAATAATTTATAACAATTACTAAATATATTTTTTTTTGAAGGAATTTCTAAATATATATTGATCATAAAAATAACACATAATATTTTTTCCTGAGGGAATAATAATACTTCATATTTAATAATAATATCAAAATATTATTTTATTTGGATGCATACGCTTGGCATACCAATCATTTAACATGATGCAAATATAGGAGTAGCAGATTCAACTATGTTTGCACAATGGCGCAAAGATAGTGTGGCCAAAGTACGACATCGTATAGCACGCCAAATTTGGAGGGTTAATCGATCGGAAAGCGACAATGAAGGTGATGACAATGAAGATCAAAGCGATAATGAAGATGATGAAAATGAAGATTATATGGAAGTAGATGGTTAATTCAACATGATGTTAAGCTCTTATCTAATTATGTTCCTATTTTGATATGTGGTTGTAATAATTTGAAGATGTTAAACTATTGTCGTTTATCTTTCTACTATTAACATATGTTAAAGATGGTACACATCTATTTATGTTTTCATCCACCTAAATCAATGGTATGCACTTGTTAATAATGTTGCTGAAATCTGATCTGCTCTGCTCTGCTTTGCCCAGAAGCTCAAAAGAATAGAAGGATAAAATTGGAAATTCACATAAAAAAAACCTTACCATGTAAAGTGTGTTGCATTTAATATGACATTTCCATTTATGGGTAGTATTGCATTTTAAAAAAAACGGAGGAAGTACGAAGTAAGGAGATAGTTGAAATGAGTGAATATCCAATCATCGTGATTCATTTACCTTCAATATACTGTACAAACTAACATCATATACTCTTGATTCGTTTTGCATGCAAATCATGCTGATTTACTAGATGGATATTGTAATATTCATTTCCCCTTGTAATAATATTGAGAAGATGAAAGGTTAATGGAAAGAAAACTGGCTTGGCAATTCTTTCATCTTTGTTACTTGGGGGTTAGAATCCTTAACCCTTTTCCATCACTTTCAAGTTTCAAGTGCCTAATTAGTATATATTGGACTAGAAAATCGTAAGGGTTAAAATCTGGTCACGATCCTTCTCCTTACCGCCAAAAAAAAAAAACAACTTTTTTTTTTTTTTTTTGAAGAAACGGAAGGCAGGCCTTAGATTAATAAATTGTCCATTAGTACATACAGGGAGACCTCATAAGGACTATGGTTCTCCCAGATTTGTTCACAACCAAAAGGCACAATACGGGCTAAATGATGAGCTGCATTATTGCCCTCCCGTTTAACATGACTCCAAGAGATAGAGTTAAAAGAATTACAAAATTTAAGCACATTCTCAAGTAAGGCATCAAGATCGGTAAGAAAAATGGAGTCTTTGCTTAGCCTTCCAACCAAAACTTGGCTATCCAATTCAATCACAACATCTTTGAACTCATAGCGCTTCGCCAGTCTAGCAGCCATCAAGACAGCCTTGCATTCAGCTATAATTGGAGATATCAAGATAGCACAATATATTAACATGGTGTTTGGCTTGAAATTTTATTTTCCAACTATATACTCTATTATTCACCTTCGATTTAATACAAACAACTCCATTTAAAAAAC